ATCAAGAGAATTCAAATATCAACAAAGCCTCTGAAGCTAATACTGACATGACCACGTGGTCAGGCCCTGAAAACAGTAGGCAGAAATAATCAGTAAGTGCAATAGAAAGATTGTAGTGAATGTCATGACGGAATGACCTTGAATGACTGCAGAGCACAGAACGTCGGACTTGTAAACACACTGAACCCTCGTTAAACAAAATTTTGAAGAACCGAAATAATCGGTGTATATGTTATTAACACTCGTGTTATCAGATTATTGTATTATACACCTGTCTTATCATGCATCCTTATCGGGACTCCAACTTTGGTAGTGTTACGAGTAAATTAGTGTTAAAAGTGTTTTCGTGATAACGAAGATCGTGAAGATAACGTGAGATCATTGTAGAAATATAATTCGTCTATGTTTAAAAAAACAGCTATTTTTTTTTAAATTTTAATTTTCATTTAAATAGACATTGAATATACAGTTCTTTTATATTATTGCTTAGCCCACTCGGTTGTCAAGGTCTTTCAAGCACCGAGGTTCGCGGGCTGAGGGTTAGTGCCACGTATGATACGGTAGGAGCGGCATTTAGAAAAACAAAATATTAAGTATTTTCTAAGTATTTGTTTCTTCCTTTTTGTTATCCTCCTCTCCCACCCACCAAACTGTAGACTTTTCAGACCCAAGAGAAAGATTTTTTTGTTCAAAAACGACTAACTTGTTTCCCACGCAATTATTATCTACTGAATACACGAGTGACACTGGTGGCTACAATGGGCAACTTAGGGGTTAACAAATCAAGTCTACATCTCGAAATAAAAATACTTTCATTATGTCACGCGAAATAAATTTTGAAACGAAGGTGCAGGTATGTGTACTTTTGGACTGAAGACGTTAAAGTTACAAACACTGCCTCTTGCATTAGCCGTTACGTTAGCACATTAACATCTCACCAAGGTGCTGCCTGCTCCGTGTAGTTGCCTTTTTCTATTCTGAGAATGAAAGTGTGGCGCATGTCTTCTCTTCTTCGCCTCTCCTATTCTCTCCCCCACCGCAGGCCCCGTCCGTCTCCCCAGGCCCGGCGTATAATGTGGGTATGGTGGCTGGTATACTCACATGAAAAGTTCTGAGTGGGTGAAATACCCACTTGGATTTTTGGGTGAAAAATATTTCATAAACCTCAAATTCCAAAAATATGAAGTTTATCGGTGTTGCTTACTTACATGCAATCAAATATTATGTAAGATCAGTTAAACAGTATTGCGATTTTACATGTTTATAGCGACATGACCGACTTGCAAATCGATTTGCAAAAAGTGTTAAATTACTTTTGCATCAAAAAAGCAAAGCGCTACTTTTTTTTCCATTGCAAAAATTAACTGATGAATTTACGTAAAATAAATGTGATGACAAATAAATGTGAACAAATTCAATGAGGAACATGACAATTCGAAAAAAAAATTTTTTTTTGGTATTTTTTCCTTCATATATATCTTCGGTAGGAGGTGGAGTGGGGACTCTCACCCAAGTAAACCAACCACTCGGACTTATCACCAGCTCCGCCTCTCTCACCTGGCCTCCACTGCCTGCTTCTCGCTTGCGCAACTCCCTCGACGCAACTCACTCCCCACTCCGACCCCTCCCCCACCCGCCCATTTCCCCTCTCGCCCATTTCCCCTCACGCCCCGAGCGCCATTAGGTGCAGCTTCCGAGCCGTATTCGCACTGCCGGCGCCCATCACTTCTCGGAAAGGGCGAAGTCCTAGGGAAAGGAGTCTCGCTTTTACCTGCGGCAACAGAGTAAATCCACGGGACCTTTCGTGTTGTGGATATTAGAGCTGCGATGTCACGCTATATTTCAAGGAAATGGAATGAGCTTTCTTTTGTGTGGGGAAAAGTACAATCCTAATTTTTTTAAACAATTCATTCTTTGCGACAGACTCTTTACAAGTACTTTCACCATCGAAAGTCAAAAAGGAAGAAGTTATTACGAGAGAGTTGTCAATCACAGAAATCGAATGGTAACATTTATATTATTTAGACGAGGAGAAAAAAGGAACTTTCTATTATTTATGAAAATTTAGAATAATCTAAAAAAAATTTTTAACGTATGCTAAATGTTACGTTCATCAGATAACGCTCTCTATTTTCATTTATACCTTGTAACACTCTAGGAAACCTTCACAGAAACCGTTCACGAACCCTAAGTCCTAAGCTCAATGACTCGATGGTCAAACCTAACAGTAAAGAATGTTCAGCAGATGTTTGTTTACTTCATTTCAAAAGAAATACTCGATATTTTGCCTGCTGGACCTAAGTGCTTATCAGAAGACACTAAGCAAACTGTCAATGGGACAGTGAGTGCTGAATACATATTTGCGCCTTTAATTTGTATTATACACCGTATGTATTACATCACCCTCAACAAATTAGTTCTAGTTCATCTTGTTTCATTCTTTGTATCTAGATAACTATTCATAATTTTCTACGTTGTGTGTTATTGCAATATTCACTAATGTTGCTGAAAGATAATGTAAAATACACTATTGTAGGGTCACGAGATTCGCAGGCGTTGTACGAATTAATTTTGAACGGCAGAAATAATGACTATTTTGTGCCACCCTTTAAGTGGGAAATAGCGTCATTTTAGAGTTTTCCGGCGACTGCGGGAGCAAAGAATGCTACCTAGCAAATCTCCACAAAATTATTTTTACAAACCTTAGCATCCATATTTGCTAATGAACAACAAATAAAATGTTCTTGTATCACATTACAATAAATTAAACATTAAAAACAGACTTCACAGATACTGCAATATCATAGTACAGTACTAAAGGCCTACAGAAGCAAAAATGCTACTGATCAAAATCACATAACATGGTTTACCAAAATCTAGGACACACATTACTAAAAACAAAAAATACTGTCGTATAAGACTGCAATAAATTAAATATGTCGCAAAAATGGTCTTCACGAATTTTGCAATAACATGAGAGTGTAAGCTTCCGCGGCCGGAGTCAGTATTTACTTGGCTGTCCGGGTGACGCCGCGTCCATGGCGAAGGTGCCATGCAATAACATGGTAAGCTAAATGGAAACTCACAATCTGTGAAACAGTTTTTCACATACCATGAATATAAAAAAATCTTGGTATTCGATAACGCATAACGTAAATAGCAAATATTTATGTGTGTCACATTCCTTCGCGAGTTGCTGTCACACGACTTCAGCTTGTCAGTGACGAACTGTGCAGGTGAATTCATTCCATACTTGCTGTACAATAATAAGTGTGACCTATGCATTACGATACTTATGTTATTGTAATGACGGATGAAGCCATAATTGTCTGTAAACAGCTGTTATAAAAAATGTAACTGCTAATAACCTTAGTCGTTGATCCGACTAAAAATAAAGAGAAAAAAGAATAAGTGGAATAACAGAATCAAATATTTACATTTTTCAGGAAAATTCGAATAAGTTTCATACTTTTTTATTTTTCCGTCTTTTTTAGTACCAAACAAAACCATAGAGACCTCTCAAAAGGCCGAATGCTACATAGTTTTCTTTCAATATCTTAGTGTATTGAAAATCTATACTAATAAAAGTGAATTCAAGGACATGTATCCGACAATACCACGAAAAGAAATGTATGAACAGATACGAATTTTTTTCACGTTCTTCTTCGAATTGTTGTGAGTCCTTGCAAAGTATGGTAAGAATTAATACAACATACAAACACAAATTAGGAAAATAAGTAATTTAAATAATATGTTGGTATATGCATCGCGATCATTATTTTTCGACTGTCCCTAAGAGACGAATAGCTCCTAATATATTCCGCCAGAGGCCAGTAGCGTTGCAGCAGAAGTGATACCTAATTGATTCGCTAGAGATCAAAAGAAGTGCGTAAGATAACTATTTTTAAATCATTGCAATTTCATTTCTAATAGCGATATGCTCTAAAATAAAATGAAAAAGTATTTTATTTGAAATTTGAACCAAATACATTAAAAATAATAATCAAAACACCGTGGTTTTATATAAAATTGATTAATTTCCTCTTTCACATAGATTGGATATGGAGAAAAGCCGGACAACGTCAGATATTTTGCTAGTTGGTAAAATAGATATTGATCCGAGGAGTCAGAAAGTGCCCAAAATACAGGCTTATAAAAAACGTTAAGTGTTAGTTAATAACATAAACACGATCTAACGATTCCGACTCAGGTACTTCAGCAACTATAACGCTTTCAGATCGAATTCTAACACGAATACAATACTTCCTCTGAGGACGTATACGAGGAACTGAATCGGAGAGGAACCAAGATAGGAACGTCAACAAGGGGGCAGCCGAATTGCTTCGCGCCTCTGAAGAAAGTTGACCGACGATAACGCGAGTGATAAGATAGCCGCAGACGGTCGCGACAGGCGAAGTTGCGGCAGTCGTGATGGCACTGCGGGGGGCGGTGCTGGCGGCGGCGCTGGCGGTGGCGGCGGCGGTGGCGGCGGCGGTGGCGGTAGCTGGGGTCAGGTAAACCTCCTTGAGAACTTTCCCGACGCGAGTGTTGTTCTTGGATACCCATGCGTTAGTGCGTGTCAAACTGGATGAATAACAAATAGGAACTGTGAATGTCATGAGTCGTAACAAGAGTTTTGTAATAATTTTTGATGTCGCTTGTTATATTTCCGCATAAACGAGGAATGTGTTTTCGATTAAATAGTGGTAGTTTGAATATAGTTCACGACGAAATTTGGTGGATGAGACGATGACAAGTGAAGGTAAGCGAAAAATGAAGCCTCTTTGGGGAACCCATGCTCGCGCCTTACACATACAGTCGTTAATTCCTGTGCAATTAATGTCTAGATGCAATCAAATAGCTTCATTGTAATAATTTTCAATGTTTCACGGCCATCATTAGTATAATCTATATCATGGGATTTGGTACAAAAACAATTATTTTAGTTTATTGAGATTTCGGTGTTATATTTTCATCACACCAGTAAGGTGCAAGTATGTTCCTTTTGTATTGCTTTAATTTATGTTTTTTACGCATGTGTTTCCATACTTCTAACCATGTTGGGTTGAATTCATCTCTGAAGATGGAGAAATAAAACTCCTAAATGTTTTAAAACTAATATAATTGTTTAGTTTGTGAATTTATTACGGATTTTAATAATTATTTTACCTCCGACGGAATTGACCCGGACATGTGCATGAAGTAAGGTATGTAAAGTTTCTTCTTCGTATGAAGAACATTCGCAGCAGAACTGGAATGAAACAGGTGTATAGAAGCTGGAATGAGGCTGATCTTCGTAAAATGTGAACTGATCCATCGTGTACAACGTGCCTAGCACGAAGAGATTGCAAGGGCCGGCAACGATGAAAAGATTGCGGATTACGAAAGACGATGTGAGTCATTGATGTTGATTTAGATATGCCGGTTTCTTAATGGTATTTCCGTGAATGTGTCCTCGCAGAAAGTTTTATGAAATGTTGTGAGGCCAACTGCGTCATACCGTGAAATATTTATCTTCGAACTAATTTTGTGATTTCCAGACATATATCATATATTGTTGGTGCTTTGTAATTTTTTCATTACAATTATTAATATTTGTTTCTTACTCTTTCTTTCTAAGAAGAGAAAGTATTGAAAGAAGAGAAAGTTGGAATCGTGCGTCGGTCTATCCGTTTGTCCGTGGACATCCGTCTGTCTGTGGACAAACGTTCAGCCATTTTTGTCTAAAATTGACATTCCTGGATGTGTTAACAGGAATTCGAGATTCTGAGAGTTTGAAACTAAAATTTTAATTTTAAATTTTAAATGAAGCCTCAATTACAATTTCATAGTTTTCTTAAAAAAATTACAGATTCTTTTGTTAAACTTTGTCTTCTGATAGTCTAAAAGTCGTTTAAAAAATTGGGGTATGTCTCATTTGCGTTGAATTTCCTGATTGTTTGAAAATTGCAGGAGATTTTTTTGGCGTCTTCCTACAACTACAATATTGAAGATATAAATTATAATAAAATATGTTTTGCAAATCAGATCAAGTTCCATCATGTACAAGTTTTCGAAAGTGCAGTTTCGCGTAATTTTCCGTCACATTTAGGCTAATTTGAAACAATTTATTTACAAAATCCGCTCCAATTTTTTTCCTTAAATTTTGTCTTTGTGTTTATGTAAAAATGTGGCGTTAGTCCCATTTTCTGCGAACCCTGACTCGTTTTCGAAAATTACGAAAAGTTAATATTGCATGACTACAAATCTGAAAACAGATTTTTGTTTTTTAACAAAATCTGTTTTAACTAGTGGTGCCGCAGACTTTCTGCTACTAATTGGCTTTCTTACTACATCAGACTGTGCTATACATTCAGTTTTGATCCACCCCCTCACCAGCCGACTGTTTGTTGTTATTTTTCTCAAAAATACCAAAACGTATTTTGTTATATTTTTCTCACGCCGTTAATATTTACGTTACCGGCCAATTTGTACACAGAATTTCCTTCATTAGTAAAAGTGCTTCAAAGTACGCCTTTTACAGATTCCCGGAAACCTAAATCTTTTTCTGTTAAAATGAACTCAAAATTACATTTGTTCAGAAAGGCTCAAGAAGACATTTTCTGGGAAATGAATCAATTTGATTTTCTTTCAACTTCCTTTTGCGGAGTGTGATTAATTCACAGAATAAGATGACAAACTCAATTTTTTTCAATTCTTCTGTTTTGTCAAAAATTATGCAGTGTAACTTGAATATTTACATTACGCTCATTTTTATGCCTTATTGCATTAGTGGTTTCAATTGCTTGAAATTAGTTCTTATGAAGTTGCTCGAACTGTTAAAAGTATTGGGTGATAATGAGCTACAAAATGCGCAGTATTCAATATTCTCAAAAGACACATTCTTAAAAATGCGCCTTATTTTCAATAAAAATGTACATGTAATACCAAATTTTACTCTTCTAGAGCATTTTGAAAATAATATTTTATTTCTAATACCAGTGATCCGAAAATTGGTAAAATTTTAAAAAGAAAAATTTTTTTGACCATCCAATAGATGGGAGCTTAGAAAGGAGTGAGTCGAAACAAAAAAAATAGCTTACACTACGACGTTGCCGTTCTTGCACAAGGCCGCTATTTTAGAAGAAAAACTCTTAGTGACTCCCTGATACCGTAAAAAGGGAATTTTCTTGCTGCTATTTATAGGAAATTACTTTTTCTGATCCTTATCGTAGACATAAATCATATTTTCGGGTCTCTTAATATCTATCTTCTCAGTATCTATGTTGATAATGTGTTTTGTTTGTTTGTGTTTTTTTAACGTCCGTTGGACTGTCCGTTCTTTAGTCTGTCTCCTCCGTCTGTAAACTAGCGCTTAAACTATTCCTAAGGACAATGGGTTTTAAAAAAAATAGACTGCACTGTTTAAATAAGTTTAAATTGAAATATACATCTCAAACATGTTTGTCCCCTTCCAAGTACATCCCTTGGCTAGCCACTCACCGTTTCTTCTAGCTTTTAATTACTCTCTGAAAGGCTGCTTTGGGATTCACCTTAAGGTCCGCTGGACAATTTGTCTTGATGTCCCCAAGTGAGACAAATCGGTAGCCATTCAAGGAGAAACAGGAAACAATCGGCTGGAGAATAGGAAGACTTCGGTTTTTTTTTTTTTTTTTTTTTTTTTTTTTTTTTTTTTTTTTTTTTTTTTTTTTTTTTTTTTTTTCCAAAGAGTCGGTCACAAGGAACAAGGCGTCCGCCGACGCTTTATCATGGTGGAATTTGAAATTTACATCATTCCACTATTCAGGTCTTTTTCTCAGCGTGCCTGAGCCTCTTCAAAATCTCGACATAGTAATATTTATTATCTGTTTATCTTTTTGCGACCTATTGAAAATAAATCAGCTCGTTTCTTTCAAAAAAAGCATTGATCATGGCCTATACGTAGGACGGAGAGATCCGACCTTTTTTGGTCGAGGAGAGATTGTTTTTCTTCACGATTTAAATAAACCACTTAAAATGCTGTAACTGGTTCATAAATTCATCCCCAAATGTTTATTAAATCAATGTTAGGGTCTCTGTAGCAGTTTTGCCGGTATTAAAACAAAATTGAACGCACACAAACACGCTGATTTTCCAGCTTCTTCAATACCCGCCGACACCGCAGACAAAAATCGTAGTCGCCCAGCTCTAGTAAATCGCAGTGAGACGCACCAGGAAGCGGTTTTATTGCCCTGAACATCCGCAAATGGCGCAATGTGTCTCATTTTGGTCCGTCAAGTTGTTTGTCAGGAACTCAGTTCCGTCTTTTATTGTTAACTGCCTTGTATTTTCCAAAATGAATATTTTCCTATAGAATCGGTCCGCCTTGAAGTCCTGCAAGTTTGAAATAATTCCCTTAATTTTGGGGCTACTTTCAATGAATCCCTTGGAACATATTCAATTTTTTTCTAAAATATTTCCAATATTTACTTTATCGACTTACTTTGTACGAAAAGAAAGTATTGGAATCGTACATCGAAAAATGGCGAATTTTCGACAGAAAAAACCCTATTGCAAGGCCTTGGTAACAACGTCCATCATGTTCCTTTGTGTTGTTCTTAAATCTACGTTGAGTAGTCAGTATCCATGTTTTGATACCGAAAAATCGATTGATTGCAAAAGCTGTGTCTCTCTGTTCATCAGACTGGTCAGTGAGAGCGCGTTAACATTCAGACGATGTTCTCCTAAATTGATTAATCACGAACGATTTGAAGGCTATTCTTAACATGAATCTTGAATGAAATCTAAATTTTCTTCAAAAATAGCTCCAAATTATTATATTTAACTTTGTCATTACTTAGTGTAAATTTCGCTTAAAGAATCGCACAGTTCTCATATTGTTATAGATCCTGAATAGTTTTTTAATTGTTAAAGTTCAAAATGTTTGCGTATTGTGCTTCGTCTGCAATATTATAGATAGTGTTTTCTTTTTAATAAATCTGTTGTTCACTGACATATCTTGAAATAAGGCCATGTGCATATGGATTAACACTTACTGACTTAGTGACTGTATTGCAAATGTATTATTTCGGATCGTTCTATTAGTGTGATATGGGTTCGTTTCGATAATGTATTACCTACAGATACATTAATATAGAACCTTTTTTAAAATTAACAATAACTCGCGGCGTATATTTTAATAATATGCATATCTTCAGAAACAACTTTATGGACCTGTAAGGACGAAGAAAGCAGATATATGAAATGTGACTGATAAAGCAATCTGGATAATTTGGTAAGCCATCTTTATTGAATGATTGATTATTTCGTGTTTCTGCTAAGGACATTAGTCCCGTAAGTGTATTGCATTTTATATTGGAAACGGGGATAGCGTGGATCTTTCCCCGTTGGTTGGTGAGATCTGGTGCGGACCTATAAGTCTGCTCAACACTGCTACCATAGTGTCGAAAAATCCTGCTCCCGTCGGGTCGAACTCTAGCACCTCTCGCACTAGGTATCCTTGCCGCTGGAATTCTTTAAGGCTCCCACAGGCCGGGGCCGGCGCGGAAGATCCGCAGCTTACGCGGAAAATTCGCAGCCTACGCAGAATGTCCGCAGTGGAAATTTCGCGTCACGTGTTACCTTATGAGCACGTACAGACCTGTGTGGCAGGCGAGCGTCGCGGCAGCGTTTTCTTACCTGCGGATTTGGAAACGAAGTCGGCCACGTTTTGAGACGCTCGAGTTTCGTGCAAGTCCGCCTGCCTTCGGGAGTATTCCCTCGCCTCTGGATCGAGCTCCCCTTGCTTTTGTATATCGGATGAGGAAAACTGTCATCAAACGCTGAGCCATAATTGACGCTCCGGTGTGAACGGATTCCGCCGCCGCGTCTAGCGCGGAGCGTTCCACGCCGCACCCGCTGCGGATCCCGCGCCAGTCTGCGAGAGCCTTAAAGGAACCTGGAAGCAACGCCAGCTCCTTGTCTACAGGGCGTGGCCCGAGGCGATGACCGCAGCGGCGGCGGCGCAGGATGCGGCGGTGGTGGCGACGCTGGACCCGGCGGCGGCGGCGGCGGAGGCGGCGGTGGGGGGATGGGGGCGCAGCGGCGGGCCGGCGGCCGCTGGACGCGCTGCGGCGAGTCCGGCGCGTGGCGGCGTCGGCGCGGAGGCACGGCGGGGGCCTGGGGGCGGCGGCGGCAACGCGAGCGCGCTGCTGGGGGCGGGGCCCAGCGCCGACGCCGCGCGCCGTGCCGCTGCTGCTGGAGGAGATAGCGCGCGCGCCGCGCTCGCCATGGACGCACAGGTACGCGGCGGCTCCCCGGAAACATCGCTTACGAATGTTTACTAGGGCTGTCCGGGTGACGCCGCGTCCATGGCGAAGTGCCGACGTTTCGGTCGTCATTCTACGACCTTGGCGACCGAAAGGTCGGCACCTTCGCCATGGACGCGGTGTCACCCGGACAGCCTAGTAAACACTGACTCTGGCCCGGACGTCTACGCTCTCTTTTACGAATAGATTTTTCCCAAATATTATCATGTGTAAAAAAAGATAATGTAAATAACACGATGTAGTACACTTCATTACAATTCTTCTTCTGATTTCTCAAAAATATTTATCACGCCGTTAAAATTTAGTTCATCGATGTGTTTCATTCAACACACAAGCTTCAAATTACCTCAAATGATTGTTTTTTCGAAAGTTCGTAAACATTTGAGTAAGCTGGACTAAAAATTGTGCATTTTTCGAAAACTGTCGTACCGAATTTACACAAAACTATCATTAACAGGAAGGAGCTCCTTAATTGTAGTTGTACGAAACGCAGAAAAAAATTTGAAATACGGTTTGATTGCGGAATAGCAATTTTAGTAAACTCTTCTACGGTTTAACCGCGTGGTTTCACATACAAAAAGATATTTTGTCGTCATTCGGTTTTTCAACATCAAAGACACACCAAAAATGAATTCTGAATACACGAGTTAGGGAAAGTAATTTAGTACACATTGAGACAACACTTATCCAGACAAAAATATTCTTTATTTTCAATTCAATTATGCCTTAATTTTACGTGGTAAGACACATCATCACATCTGCTTTTCCGTCTCACCACATCAATTAGTTGGCTACTCTCCTTTCTCTAATTAGTGGATGAAGATGGAATCACTCGAGCGAGGCAGACGATCTAAATTTAGCTCATAGACTTATTTTAGGCTAGATATCTTTTACATGCAATAAATCTACAACATTGGTACAGCTAGCTTTATTTCCCCTCCGATGGAACGCGTACAAAGGAGTTTTTCGCCCTCAAATTCACGGCTTTGGTTTCGTCTGTAGTTTGAAATTGCAATCTTGGATACAACAGCCTGAAATGGTATGCAAACCATTCTGCGTCCCAATCGCTCCGTAAAATATATTCAATAATCGATTTATATTTTCAATAAATCGAGCATGTTGCTTTTTAATTACATGAATTATTAACAACCTGAAATGCCCTGCATTGTCGACCATTTATTAATTAGATCGACAGGAATTCGATTAATCTTAGGCGACAGGAAGCCCATAGCTGCCAATGCATACCACAGAGGACAACATAGAATCAATTATGGAGAGAGCACGAACTGTGAAGAGAATATCAAGAAATTAATAATGAAAATGTACAAAGCAAACAATAGAAAAACCGATCCGGTGCCAGAGATCGCTAAGGCAAGTAGTTGCTATAGCGATCTCGATCGAAGGATCGCGTGTTCGACTCCCGTGCTGGTTGTGATTGTTCATCCTTTACCCCCTATCATCATATCGTGTCATCCTCCAGTTACCACACCGTTACAAGCATTAGTGATCGCTAATGACCTAGAAGTTGAGGCGACCTTATATAACAAAAAAAACAATTGAAAATATAGACAATAGATTTTAAGGACAAAATAAAGATGTAATTTTCATATCGTGCGGTTACATATTTGCTATATCTCTATATTAGTAAAATCAATCGTTATGGAGAAATTTTGTTTAATTTTTATATCCTCGTTATATAGTGAACCTCGGATATAGTGAAGCTCGGATATAGCTGAAGCTCGGATGAGTGAAGCTCGGATTATAGTGAAGCTCGGATGTAGTGAAGCTCGATATAGTGAAGCTCCGAGATGTAGTGAAGCTCGATGTAGTGAGCTCGGATGTAGGTGAAGCTCGGATGTAGTGAAGCTGCGATGTAGTGATCCTCGGATATAGTGATCCTCGGATATAGTGGACATCGGATATAGTGAACCAAAAATGTTAGTTCTCAGAAGTTCACTGTAACCGCAGTCAATGTATCGCGTATTGTTGGCAAAGGTGTCGTTGTGGCGTGTGCGCAGGCTGCGCGCGCGGCGTGGTGCGGTCGCGCGTGCCGTGCTGCACGCTGCCCAGGGCGTGGGGGACGCTGCGGCTTCGCCTGCGCGCGCGGCCCCCCCGCCACGGCATCACCGCGCCTTCCCCGGGGCGCCTCGCTGCTCTGGAAGGCGCCAGGGCGACGCCCTCGAACTTACACCAAGGTAAACCAAACTCATCACCACAACATGTCAGCTACCAACACCCGCCCACCTCACTACCACCAATCGTCCGGCAACACCCCTCGACTTCATCAAGGTAATTACCTCATCACCACACCAATCACCCATATCAGCACCACCACCCGCCTACCTCATCACCACACAAATCACCCGTCAGAACAACCACCCGCCTACCTCACCCCCACCACATCGTCCGCAACACCACTCGACCACACCAAGGTAACTACCTCATCACCACAAGAATAACTTGTGACAACGCCACCCAACAACTTCACCACCACCACAATGTCAACAACACCAATCGACTGCACCATGGCAACCACCACATCAGCGTAAAAATTTCCTGTGACAGCGCCACTTCACAACGTCACCACCACCAGGTCGTCCGCAACACCACTCGACTACACCAAGTTAACCACCTCATCGCTACAAACATCACCCATGTCAGCACCACCACCCGCCCAACGTCACTACTACCACCACCACATCGTCCGCTACACCACTCAACTACACCAAGGTCACCACGACGAAAATCACCCACGACTGCACCACCACCAGGCCACGTCACCATCACCACCACATTGCTAATAACACCACTACCACCGACACAACAACCCCTCCATCATTATTACTACTACTTCACCAATTCCAATACCATCACTACAACTTCATCAGCATCACCACCAACGCCACTAACATCACCACTAACGCCACCACCACCACCAAAATCACACCACCCAACCACACCCTCATTAAATTTCTGGTTTTATTTGAACGCCCGGTTGGAGGCACCACAAATCTTGTAAGAACATCATTAACACCAACACCACAATTATTCCAGCATGAACACAAGAACGTCCCTTAAACTCCAATATCACTACCACCATCACCATACCATCCAAATAAAAATAGTACATATTTTGCATGTGCACCATTTTTTATGTCAGACTTAAACCATGAGCGCGGCGTATGGGCGTGGCATTCATGTTGGTGGAGGCAGTGTTGTCGGGGTGGCTGCTCGCGCACCAGAATCCCTCTTACACCATCACCGCCACACTAACAACAGCTACTACTCTTAAACTTCTACACGATATCCACCATCACTAGCCGTCATAGATGGCTCAAGGTAGCATTTGATGTCACTGCAGTTCCCATGACAGGGAAGTTCTAGGTTTCGAATCTCACTGGGGACAGAATTTTCGACACTAGCTACATAGATAGATCGACTTTAGACCGCTGTCTGGAGGAGAATTCGAGAAGCCGACCAGGAGATTTCTGATTCGACCGGGAGATTTCCGTGATGTCTTTCATCAACACGCTCCGCAATCTTTCCTTACTCCTCCGTGTCCTATCGTCATGCTTTACTCATACACACTCCCACTTACTTACACTACACTACCCACAAGCCGGGAGACCACTCGGGGGCTTAGAGATGGTCCTGCAACTTAAAATTCCGCAAACCGACATGTAGGTCTTATGCGATGAAAACATTAATCACACTTACGGAACTAGCATCGCTAGCAGTTGAAGCTCCAGGAATCATCAATGAAGGAACTCACCCCCTGTTGGCGTGTCGGGTGCTGGTGGAGGCGGTGCTGTCGGTGTGACTGTTCGCGCGCACCAGCAAACCCTCTTTCAACACCCCAACACCTCCACTATCACCACCACCACCAACATCTAAACTTCAATTACATTAACATCATCTGCAAGTCCTTCACTACCTACACCCCATGTTGTCATGGCAGGTGCTGGCGAGGTGGCTGCACACGTGCCCCAGAAACCCTTCTATAAAACCACCACACCGACAAAAGTAACACCAACAGCAACAAGTCTGTCATCAACAACACCGTCTTCACCACCTACACCCCGTGTTATGGCAGGTGCTGGCTGGATGGCTGCACGTGCCTCAGAAACCCTTTTATAAAACCACCACACCGACGAAATTAACATCAACAGCAACACGTCTGTCATCAACACCGTCTTCACCACCTACTCTCCGTGTTGTCATGGCAGATGCTGGCGGGGGCGGTGCTGTCGGGGCGGCTGCCGGCGGGCGCGCGGGCGTCGTTCGCCGTGCTGGGCGAGGGCGAGGCGGCGTTCGCGCCCGCGGGCGGCCTGGGGCTGGAGCGCCTCAACAGCCGCGTGGTGGGCGCGGCGCTGTGGGCGGCGGACGCGCGCGGCGCGCCCAAGGCGCTGGCGCTGCCCCGCGGCGCGCACGTCGACCTGCTGCTGCGGCCCGCGCGCGCCTCGCACGCCGGCGGGCGGCGCGTGCGCCGGCGATGCGTCTTCTGGGACGCCGACGCGCGTGAGTCAAGGCTATTGTTCATATTAGACAACTAGGAGGGTCGGTCAGAAAGTATTTCCCCACGTTTTGCCCTTCGTGAAATAATAATGGTAGACAGTTGTAGATGTTTACCCTTCAAAGTTTCATATTTCCAGCATTAGTGTACTCAGTTTCAAGCCTCTCCTGCAGATGACAGTTTCTCAACGAACTGTTAAAATGGCGGCCGTAGACGACGTACGAAAAATGAGCTGTGGTTGAGGAGAAGGAAACTGTTGTGAACATTCACAAACGCTTTTCTGTAGTTTATGGCACCTCTGCTGACGCCTGTACCATTGGACATTTGGGTAAACGAGTTAGAGCGTCGGAAAGTGAAGACTGCGATCTCCATGATTTGCCGCGCTCCGAGCATCCAGCCACAGCAACGAGGCCTGACATGCCGATCACAATATTTTGGGATATTGCTGGTATAATTCATGTTGATATTATGCCCAAAGGCAATACCATCAGTCACATTCTTACACCAATACTCTGTCGTCAGGAAAAGATTTGTAGTGTTAGTGTAGTCGTTAGTGGCTCAAGACTGTATACGTCGATGCAAATTACGTGGAAAAATAGAGCCGTTTATTAATTGTTTACCAATTTAAGGTCCTTCCAATAAATATTTGTGGAGAAAAATGAGGGAAATAACATTCTGACCGACCCTCGTATATGTACATCCTGCCACCTTGGCGACTCCCAGACTGAGACCCTGCAGTGACATGAGCTGACAATCCTTGGGCGCGTGCCTGGTGTTCGGCAGGGACGTGGTCTGGCGAGGGATGCGCGCTGGTGGCGCTGGGCGCTGTGGAAAAAATTAAGAGAATACTTTCTGAACTACCCTCCTATTCATCCTGCCTCCTTAGGGACTCCATGACTGAGGCCCTGCAGTGACATGAGTTGACGCCCCGTCGGCGCGTTCCTGGTGTTCCGCAGGGACGTGGTCTGGCGAGGGCTGCACGCTGGTGGCACGGGGCGCCGTAGAAAAAAATGAGGGGCATAACTTTCTTACCGACCCTGGTATGGGCACATCTTGCCACCTCGGGGACTCCCAGGCTGAAGCCCTGCAGTGACATGAGTTGACCCCCCATCAGCGCGTTCCTGGTGTTCCGCAGGGACGTGGTCGGGCGAGGGCTGCGCGTTGGTGGCGCGGGGCACCGTAGAAAAAATGAGGGGCATAACTTTCTTACCGACCCTGGTATGGGTACATCTTGCCACCTTGGGGACTCCCAGAGTGAGGCCCTGCAGTGACGTAGGTTGACCCCCCGTCAGCGCGTTCCTGGTGTTCCGCAGGGACGTGGTCTGGCGAGGGCTGCACGCTGGTGGAGCGAGGCGCCGTGGACACGTGCCGCTGCTCGCACCTCACGCACTTCGCGCAGCTGGCGTCGCCCGGCGCGCCCTTCGCCTACCCGGGCCACGAGCGCGCGCTGCAGGTGCTGTCGCTGCTGGGCTGCGCGCTGTCGCTGCTGGCGCTCGCCGGCGTCGCCGCCACCGCCGTCGTCGCGCCGCACTGGCGCCACAAGCCCGAGAACAAGGTCTCACATCCCACTTCGAGTGGCGCTGCGCACACCCGCAAAATTATTTATGATTAGGTGGAGGATTTTAATGGCCTAAAACATTGCCAAAATGCGCTTGAAATGCTTTAAAAGTTCTTTAAAAACAAAGAAAAATGACGTAAAAAATATGATCAAAACAATTTCAGACTCAAGGTGTTGGGTATGTCACTGATGTAATCGAGGCATCTTCCTTTCGTTCAAGTGAACTCAGCATGCAACTTTTCTTTTGAACTATTCTTTAAAAGAAAATCTCTGACTTTATTTATCGTGAAAACGGGAATAGTGACAATGGCGCCGATAGGCGTCACAGAAACCTTAGACTACATAGTACTCGAAACGGCTCACATTACAATATATGAGCGAAGAAATCGAATGGGTTACTCAGGAATTCTGTAGGGAACATTAGTCGCACCTCGTAAATATTGTTTGAAGCAAAAATCATTAAAATTATATTAAAATAGATGAAACAAGTAAAAAATGCATTACAAATTATGTAAAAATGACTTATTTGTCAAGATCAACGAAAAATGTAAGAAAAGACATACAAAAATAAGTCTTTTTTTCTCTTAACGTCAAATGAATTTCTATATTAAACTACATTCTTCCAAAGTGAGAAGAAAAAAATGATAAATCATTGAAATCCGTCCCCTATTTATGGTATAAGTAGTTTTATTTTGCGAGTGAGGTTGCGAAACGAGTCCAATAGGTCAAGTGGAGCAATTGAACGAGCAAAATAAACTCATATTTACCACGTGTGTCTTACATTTTTTCTAGACAGCTACAGACTTTGTATCCTTTAGTCCTTTTTTGTTCATTTTTCCATTCTGTCATTTTGTCCATTATTCCTTGTGTCTTTTATGTCCCTGTTGTCCCTTTCAACCCGTTTTTTTGTCCATTTTGCCCGTTTGTTCCCTTTGCCCCCTTTGTCCTCTTTGCCTCCTTTGTCCGTTTGCTCCAATGTTCCTTTGTCATTTTGGTTCTTTTTGTCCCTTTTGGCCATGCGTTCCTTTCGTCTACTTTGGTTATTTTTGTTCTTCCGGTCACACCAAAGTATTTTGTTTTCTTTGTTGCATTCACAGATTTATCAGGACAGTTGTACATTGTTTCACGTTTAGCACTAGTGCCAAAAATTGTACTTTTAGCACGGTTGGCAAGCCCCGAACGAGCCGCTTTTAGTAGTGTATGTCTAATAGAATGTTTTATACATAAAAAATCTGAAATTGTTTGTCACTATTCAGATTTTCATATCAGAAGATAGTATGGCCACAGAGTTCTCTTGGCAATTCCGAGATTTTTTAAAAAATATTTAGAAATAAAATCAAAAAATGATAAACTTTAAAATTTGTCTTCTTTATTTACGAAGTTTGTTTGGCGATGTTTTGAGGGTCATGTTTCCCACCTTCAGATTACAAGGAATATACCATGCATTTTTTACTAGTTATAAATTTAAAAAATCTGGCGTTAAAGTACACAAAATTTCGAAAAACTTTAGAAGTTAAATCACAAAATCATAAAGTTTAAAGTTTTTTACTCTTTTCACAATGTTCGTTTTGTGATATTTCACAGTTCGTGTTTTTCTCCATCTTCAAGCTAAAAGGAATATAAGAGAAAAAATTGGTGAATATAAATGACAAGTTACTGACTTACAAATACAAAAAAATAGATATAATTATAATAAAACTTTAGAAGTCGATATAAAACATGTGACATGCCATTTTAAAAAACAAACGATAATTAAAACACTAAAATAATTAAATGTGAACCCCAGTCAGTGCAAAAGCACTTCCTGTATAGCAGGTTTGTAACGAGAATTAAACGGTTACCACCCAGAAGATGAATCAATGGACTGAGACCGTTATGGGTGAATGTGAATGACGAACAAAAACCTTAAAGTTTATGATTCTGTGATTCCTAAAACTTTTGAAATGACTCGAGTCTGTCAAAACTCTGTGGTCAATCTATCTTCTCATAAAAATGATCTTTCGTCTTACAGCATTATAAAGGACCTTTTTTCGTTAAAAGAAATTGTTCATAAAATGACATCTTACGGCCCAGGTTATGTCGTGTTTACCGTTTATGCCACAACTAATTGCGCCATCACACATTGAACCAATGGCAGCGAGAATCGAGGGCGGTTAACCGAACTGCCGACCATCCTTTTTCACACAGATATCAAATAACCGTGACGTTACAATAAAGTTGTTTCGATAAGATAATTTTGATTCTCTTATAAGTTTATAATGCTGTTAATCAAAAACTAACGTATACAACTCATCTATAATGTTTCTTTATTGTATTTGTACAAATTCGAAAAAAACTCTCCTAACGTCGTTTCTAAACATGTACGCGCACACTAAAGCATAATATTATAAACTATTGCATGATGTCCTATAAAATGAAGCAACAGCTTTCTATAGATTGCTGATCTTAACCGCTCTTTTGATTTTTGCAATGCATAGAACTGACGTTTGCATTGTGCTTTTCTCTGCAGACATAAAAGCCGAATCGTATATAACTGTCTTCACATTACTAATTGCAGCAAGTGACCTATGAATATTATTGGACTGAATTAAGGACAAATAATATGAAAGAGATGTAAATATTCATCACACATACGATATATACGTACATCAAATCGTGTATCGAATTTTCAGCGCCCATCCTTGCTGCCCGAAATTTGAAGATATTCCCAATTTTCAAAGACCTTTTTCAGCCCTATTGATCCTGGTGGCTTGAATGTTTTGTGCATAACTTCATTTAATTAAAGACCTAAAATTCATACATTCATGTGTTGGTTGTTGTCGAGCTCTGCACGCGCAAACTGCGTTCTTCTAAAAGAACACACATCTGAATGTTCTTATACAGAATTTTATTGTTCCTAGTTTCATCGAGCCACTTAAGCACTACAAGCTGAAGATCTAGGTCATTCATCCCGTTCCCCAGCGGAAGTACCAACAATACGCATGATTGAAGAAGTGATGAGACATTGATGTTTTAAACCTGGTTTAGTAACCTCTGATATTAAATTAGTGCGGAACAAAATTTAATTTAACAGTAGCCGTGTTGAATCATTATAATTAATAGTATTTAACTGAAAACGCAGTTTAAAAAAAATATAAAAACCAAAGACAAAACACCCTAAAACCGTGAGCACTGAGGGTCATCTCATCATCAGTTCACCGAATAAGGATACGGGAAGAAGGGGCAGGCACTCTACGTCCACAGAGTATGCATTGACCGCTTCTCAATGTGAAATCACGTAGAAATACCAAGTCATCGGGGTCGACTCAGGTTGAATTAGTTTGCTTGATAAAGGTAGTATGAATAGCATTTAGTCCGAGCACATAAACTAACAGTGTTACTGTCAGTTGTTATTTCATATTTAAAGTTTTACAATATGGTGGTTTGGGGATTTTTTATTCACAAAGAGACATCAAAAACGTAAAAATATCGAGCAACAATCTTCTTTGTTTACAAAAAAATCAGCTTTATATAAAAATCATATTTAAACTCTCGATGCTTTTTCAAAAACAACCATGTTTTTAAAGCATATACATCGATGTCACATCCCTATATTGAAGTTTTCAATACATTTCTTTCGTTATACACTGCATGTTCGAACTGCAGTGCAGATTCTCGTAGAAGTGCGACCTCACCTCCATGTTTTTACACGAAAATTATTTCACTCCGTGTTTCGTCGCGTCGCATGGACACCATTATACAACAGTAAGGCCCCATCCTCCCCAACCAGAGAAATTACAGTCATAAATTCATGTTTTCCATTCATTTATATCGTCACGCCCTGAATGCTTGCTCTATATTTCAGTAGAAGAACATGCGCAGATGCATTTACTTTAAAGAGAATTGATGCACGGCTTGAATGTTTTGTCGCATCCGACGCAACATTCAAATGAATAATCTCAGACACTCGCAAATGTTTTGTAGTATTATTCTAATAGTCATATGCACCCGGTTTGCCACGAAAATTGTACAGAAGACTCTATTCTATAGATATGATCTCAAGCATTAAATTGTAGACGTTTGCGTGTGATATAATTTTTTTGTTAATCCAAACGATGTGTAAGTCGTCATGCCACATTATTTTGTTCTTCGATATTGTGGAAGAGAACAAAATGCAGAAAGTGGAATAGTATATTCAATTAATATACTATTAAACTTCCAAAAAAGTTACAACCACCCTGTCACCTCTTTGGAGTGACAAAAACATTGTAAGTAAATTTCCAACAGAGAATGTCATCTATGATGAAATTTCGATCTAACTGTAGTTGAACTATTTTAAGTAGGTAATATTTCTTTGAAGCTCATCCGTACCTATTTGTCATAATTGTCATTGTTCATCGCAGCATTTTCACAATATATTATTTATTAATTGCCTATGATCAAATTTGATTATAGATCAAATTTATTGATCAATTATCAAATTTAATTATATATAAAAGCAATAGCAATTAAAGCATCCAGTAAGCGAGTTTCACAAATTTCAAACATCTATTCATTAACGTATTCTATTATGAACACATTGAATTTGTTGATAAATAAACGTTTTGAAATTTGTGGCTTAGCTACCTCTGTCACTAGATGCCTCAATTGAATCAAAAGTGCTCAGTATATTAATAAAATTGTTATAGGAGCTATCATTAACTGTGGCAAACGTATTTGTACATTAACTGCAATTGCATGTTTTACCTGAAAATTTATATTAAGCCGCATTTGAAATTGATATTTTGTGAACTGGCTTGTTTTTAGTTTAATTCGATTTGACTTCATATTAAGAAGGAAACATCATACCATGCGCTTTCTCACTTAACGTTTCTTCCGCACAATATAAAGTTGTATAAATCTAACGTGTGCTGTAAATTAATCTTATGAAACCTCGACGTTGGCCAAATGTTCTGACCAAAGTTAATTCCGTTAAAAATAATGCAAATAACATTTTGTGACTTAACCACATCAAATGTACTTTATGAGCATTATGTTCTAATAGTTGTATAAAGTAACCACTAAATCATTAATTGGAAAACAAGGAGACCGCTGGATACGTGAAAATTTTGTAATCTCAGTTTTGTGAACTGCAGACTGTTTGCAATTCTGGATTAGTGGTCAGGACGGAAACCACACAGAGACAAATGCTAGTGAATAAATCATTGTGTGATGTAAATGGTAAAGGGGCTACACGCAAAGTTCATTAACAGCTTACTCGAAATTTTGGTTGTATTTCGTACCCGGCAGTAGATATTTAAGAAGTTCGTTTCTTCAGTAGTCATATAATCTAACATTCCTCAATTGGAAGGAGAAGGAATTTTGAAATGCACTGAACAACCCTTTACTGCGCTAATAAAATATTCTCTGATATGTATTTTCCGCTGTGATATTTTTCCCTTTTATTATTTAACTCAAACCATAACTTCTAATTTATATATCTGTAACCCTCTGACCATAACCGTATTACCCCCATCTATGACGGCAACGACTTTCTTGGATGTTTTCTCGACACTTCTACAGCTCAGGCATCATAGAAACCCATAAACCGTCCTTTAGTGTTTTTTATAACCTACATACCTAATAATAATACTGAGTTGTGTCTTCACAGAGACATCAATAGTTTCAACGCCTGTACAGTCACAAATCTGACATCATTGATTTCTTTTCAAATCTGCTTCTCTTTTTTTTTTCTAAACTTTTCAACGTGTTAAATTCTGCCAATTCCAAACTTCAGCCATCCTCATACGATCCTTTCACATTATTTTTTTCATATTTCTTTTATATTTCTCATATCTCCACACAATCACCCCTATTTCTTATACAATTTCTGTAGACTAACCTTCGATCTCACATCATTTCTAACTCTTCCACTCTTGTTACCCTTCAATTACATCACCTACAAAACGTTCTTTTGCCCTATTTCCACAGCCATACCATTCTTTTCTATTTTATGAATTTTACTCTTCTGTCTCTCAGTCTCAGTCTTCTTATTCTTCAGAACATTGTCAGAAATGTCTGATAATGGCTGTAATGTAAATTTACATTAAAGTAATTATCTTGAACGCACATTATATATACACATGTACTGTAGGATGCAAGAGCCAAAGCTTTGGTCTTATCTCGATGGCGTCATTTTTTTTTGTGAATTTTGAAAATGTCCCATGGGCTTCATATAAAGTTTTCCCCCATATTTAAAACATATGTTCATATTCAAGGGTTGCGACATCAGCCAAATCGATTGAGGAATATCAATTTAGGTTGCAAGAGAGTAAAGGGCCAAGTACTAAAATATATTTTTAATGTGCACTGCACATTACGTTTCTCCCACATTAATACATTAATCTACATTACGTTTAATGCCAGTGTTCCCGTGAGCGCAAATTATGTTGCAGCTGAGCGTGTCGGCGGCTGCACTGTACATTATTTTTTTTGAACCTTAATACAATAATCTATTCTGAAGTATAATGTCAGTCTCAGGTTCCCCTGTGCCCAGGTCCAACTGCAGCTGAGCGCGTCAGTAGCTGCAGTGTGCATTAACTTTCTTGTACATTAATGCAATTATCTATATGAATTTAAATGGCAGGATGGTGCGATTCCCGTGTGTGCAGAACCTGCTGCAGCTAAGCTCGCCGGTCGCTGCACTGTACATTAAGTTTCTTATACATTAACACATAAACCTACATTAAGTTCAGTGACAGCGTGCGGTTCCCGTGTGAGCAGATCCTGCTGCCGCTGAGCACATTGGTGGCTGCTCTGTATTAATTTACATTAATTCTGTGTAATTTACATTAACACATAAACCTACATTAAGTTCAGTGACAGCGTGTGGTTCCCGTGTGCGCAGATCCTGATGCAGCTGACCGCGTCATTAGCTGCACTGTACATTAAGTTTCTTGTACATTAATACATTAATCAACCTTACGTTTAATGCTATGGTGCGGTTCCCGTGTCCGCAGATCCTACTGTAATTGAGCGCGTCGATGGTTGCTCTGTACATTAAATTTCTTGTTCATTAACATTATCTACATTAATCTACATCTTATCATAACTCATTAATCGATATCTACAATGGCAGTGTGCGGTTCGCGTGTGCGCAGATCCTTCTGCAGCTGAGCGCGTCGGTGGCGCTGTGCATGGCGCTGTGGATGCAGGCGGCGCTGGCGCCGGGGCCGCCCACGGGCGCCGCCGGCTGCAGGGCGCTGGGCGCCGTGCTGCACTACGCCGTGCTCGCGTCCTTCTGCTGGATGCTGGCGGCGGGCTTCACTCACTACCTGCGTCTCTCCACGGTCAGCCTCACGCTCGTTGCTCGAGAAGCGAACACTCCGATTCACGAGTCGATCTTTTGGGATCAACCGGTGCATTGATTGATTCATAGTTTTTCCGGTGCAAAAATTGCTAAAGACATTAGTCCTGTAATCGTAGTGCATGATATTAACGCCTGAGGGAGCGGTGATCTTCACTCGAATGGTGGCGAATTCTGGCACTGAACTACCAGTCGGCTTGTGGGTTTTTTCCTTTCACCATATATCTCCAACCAGTAGAGCAATGCCGCAGCTAAGACACGCTCTAAACTCCAGACAAGAGGTAATTGTGTACTGCATGTAAGTCTATGTGTGTGTAAGTAGGATGTGAGGATAAGACAAAGAAAAGGAAGGAAAGAACGTGTGCGATTCGTGGCCTGTTTGTGAAGGTTTTGCTCCAGCATTCATCTGATATTGATCGGATAAATCACATGAAAATGCCGTTAAGAGCAACCGGCCGTTAGAATTATCCTCCACACAGCGCTTAAATTTGACCTATGCGTGGTTGAAAATTCTGTCACCATCCGGATTCCAACCTACAATTTTGAGACACTGCAGTGACAGTTGATAACCTGAGCCAGCTAAATTGGTCCCGCCGACGAGACAGCTCATAGTAGACACAGTTGCCATTACATGGGTTGTCCTAGGTTTTGAGTCCGGCCAGTGAGTCCGGCCAGGTTTTTCAACACTTGCGGTAGTCAAATTTAGCTGCTGATTGAAAAAGAATTCTAGCAACCGTGTGCTCTGATCTGTAGTCATCCGTCGTTTCTTCAATCAATACCAGGCGAATGCTGGGGCAGTAGCTTCACAAACGAGCTAGGAAGCCCACGCGATTATTCATTCCCATTCCCTTCACTCCTGTCACTTACGCATACCACGTACTTACACACTCCTGCAGTAATCTGCCTCACATAACGGGAGACCAGTTGGGAGCCTAGAGCTTGCCCCCGCTGAGGCGGTGCCCCACTGATAAGGAGAAGAGCCGTGGATTTTTAAGGGCGAAGAAATCCTTCGTACGCCTTCCTTCGGGGGGGAGTAAAGCCGGCTGTCCCATGTTATAGTAGATTTACTTGCATGTAAAAGATTCTCAAGCCTAAATGACGCCTCTGAGCTAAATTCAAAAATCGCCTGTTTCTCGCTCAAGAAATACCTCCTTCCTCTTCTAGTTGGTGAAAGGAGCGTAGCGAAATTTACGTGGTCAGACGGAAGAGCAGGCCTAATGGCCTGAGTCTCTCCACGTAAAATAAGGCATTAATTCAATTCAATTCAATTCAATTCAACAGCTGAACGGGGAACCACCCGCAATCCGAGGTAAAGGTCGGTATCTGTTCCAGTCAACAAAGTTCCAGTGGTCGGGGGGAGGGGGGGGACACTGCCTCATCCCGATAAATAGCACTATACGTACAGTACTCATGACCTTAGCAGTTGACGAGTTAGGGTACTAATAATTAATTAATCAATCATTTGGCTTCTTCCACAACGCAATGAAATAGCGCATCGAAGGCTCTATGTGCACGTTATCGGTCTTTAAGGCGACAGCTGGAGGAAACCTTTCTTCGGTTTCCCGACCCAACCTCTTTCTCGAGAACAAAATCTGTCTTTTTCCTTATCGTTTTCTTTCCATTTCTAATGTCAATAAGGTCGTTTAATTTTTCGTTTATCTTTATAGAGAAGTTTCCAGGTCTTTCCTTTCGCCAAGTTGAGTTCCATGCAAAATGCGCCATGATTACAAAACAACTCCAAGCACTGGCAGAACAATTCTGATCGAAATGTGGGAGAAAAAGGGCCAAACGAAAGTCAGTATAAATTGAACTTTCAACTCAAGAAATCTTTAATCATAAAACTCTGCCAGCCTTATCAACACCACAATCCTTTGCGAAGAAGATGAATTAATTATATAATTTAAATAACAAATTATTTTTAAATTGTTGACAAGAACTTACTTACGAAGGTGTAAAATTTAAGATGATAAGTAAAATGCAAATATACACTTTCCTATGATTCATTGATGTGGAATTATGAAACTAGTACTGTATATAGGATAGACTTGAAAATTGCTTCTTTTTTTATAGAATATAGGTAAGTTGATATCCGATAGAGGGATGAAATAGTGGGCCTTAATCATCAAAATTATCTCCCTGCTTTCACATTGATTTGGCCAAACGTCTTCACGTTGCTTTTCAAATGATCTAGATCTATCAGAAAATTCTTAGTCGAACCTGAGCAAATACCGTTCGATTCGGAATGTTAGCTTTAGCAACCACAAACATGTTGGGGACTGATACAAATTTTATTTAAGAAGTTGGCAAAATATCTATGTCTCGCAAGAATATTGACATTCGTTTTCATACAAATATTCTTCACAGGAGTAATATCGAACTAATTACATAGTATTAATATCCATGATTGAGATCGACACGTAAGGCGTGGTTAGGCACACATAAATATTTTACATAGAATCATATTAACCATTACATTTTTATAATTGCAGTATGACGGGGAAGATGTAAAAATTTAATAAACTAATTTAATTTAGAAAAATTCCCACTAGTACATTCTGCGCCCATAATTTATATTTGGTGTGGTGGAGAAAGAAATTGAGAACGTGCATTTGCGATAACGTCAGCAACTTCTTATTGTACTAGTAAACTGATGATGATGGCTAAGCCATCGAAAGTTGCTGTTTTAATAAATAATATTGTTGGCAATAACGACGTGCGTAATTATTTCATTGGAAATGCCAACGAAAACTCACCACAGCACCTATATTCTGAAATATAAACCCGTGGTAGACCGTAGTTTCCTTACCTGTCAGGGTTCGTTTTCCAGTTAACAAAAGCTTATATTTGAGCATCACCGCTCCACGCGCCCGCTAGTTGTCAGTAGGCCCTACGAAAGAAAGATCTCTTTAATATCTGAAAGCAACACAGCATGAATGTGTGACGTTCGTAGGTAGAACTGATACGAGATGATTCTATCTTGAATGGCAGTTTTGTCTTGTCAATTGAGAAGGCAGCACGTGCTTCAGATGTGCCCAAGTGTTACAGTTAGTTGAAAATTAAATGAATGAATCGCGCTATTCAACAAAAAGAACACACCGTTTTCTCAACAGACGGAAAAGTTGTATAAACATTTAATGCATATTTGATATATTGACCGTGTATATTACTTCGCATACTTAACGTAATTTTACTGCATAGAAATCCGGTGTCTATTAACGACCTTTGCAGTTGACTCACCCGGAATCACCAATCATGCCACGTACAGCGCGCGATCTTTCCTTACTCTTCCTTGTTCTATTCTCACCCCATTAAGCTCACACTTACACTAACATACACTATAATACTACAGAATGCCGGAATACCGATCGGGAGCTTTGAGTTTGTCCCAACTGAGGCGGTGTTCCGCTGGTAGGAGATACCTGGTTGGGGAAACTCCTCTAGTAAACAGTAGGTCGGAGCCGGATCTCACCATTCGGTGGGGGAAGATCACCGCCACCTTTCGAGCAAATAACATGTCCTACAAGTAATGATCTCATTAGTTGACGGGCTCGTAATCACCAACCAAATAATGGGCCATTTCGTTGCTCTTGTGCGGCGCAGGTGGCGGGCCCGGGCGGCGTGCGTCGCTTCGCGCTGCTGGCGGCGGCGGTGGGTTGGGGCGCGCCGCTGCTGCCGGTGCTCGTGCTGCTGGCGGCGTCCCCGGGCGCGTACGCGGCGGGAGCCGACGCCCGGGGCCTGTGCTACCCGGACGGCGCGGCGCTGTGGGCGGCGGTGGTGGCGCCGCTGGCGCTCGTCCTCGCCCTCAACGCCTACCTCTTCGCGCGCGTCCTCAGCCTGCTCGGCCTCGTGCGCTGCGGCCCTGCCCCCAAGGTGAGGAGGACACGGGGCGACCGGCACACGAAAGCAGCCAAGCTCGCGGAAGGAATGCGAGCGCAAACTTTTCGCTTTGTAGTCACCATGCTAAATAATGTTTTGGTCATACAATGGTGGTCATATCATGGTGTTCGGTAGAACTAATTAGAGAGCGATGTAATTATACGTACTATGAAATATGAGCGAGCGACGTAATTATATGAAATATGCGATAGTCACAAGCTGCAGCTCAGAAAATAGCTCGTACCAACTTTTAATGTTTATAAGAACAGACAAATAGAATCACGGGATGTTGCACAGCGGGTGAGAATAGTTTCGACACAGTCCCTAGAGTAATTGATTGGTAATAGATTCGTAGCACACGCGTACTACATTAAATATATAAATAAATGCTCTACACTCTTATTTTTCACGTTAGTTGTGAATCAACATAGACTGCTTTTGAGTACCAGCAGTTAATTTGACAACATTGTGCAATACACATGATTGATTCGGTGCAGCGAGCTGTGGATAGGTCTCGTATAAACATCGAGGCGTTCAGTCGCGCTGAGCGTTGCAGAGGCGGCTTCGCGGCAGAAATGAATTTGACCAATTAGAGCTGATCTTCACAGGCTGCAATTAGACATTTTAGGTGTATGCATTAATCATGATCTAAACAGGTTATGTGATTATGTAGCATATTAAAAAATTAGGAATTGTTACCAAGTAACGTGAATGGTGCATTTGTTTCGAGAAGGCTTTGCGCGGCGTGTAAGTGGTTGTGCCGTGGGCGCTACCAAGAATTCTCGATCTGGCTACAGCCTGCATGGATTGCGTAATGGTATAAGCGGAACGTTGCGTCTTGAGAGAATGCAAAATAGAACTCAATGACATTTCCTTATACGATACTTAATTACCCAGAGGACACGTGTGGTAGACTA